CAAATAAGTTATAAAAAATATTTAAATAAATATAAATTATAAACAATGTAAAATTTATTTTATTTAAAATAAAAAACAATTCCTGCCTTTTTTTAGTCATATTTTTATTACTTTTATTTAGAGCACGCAAATAACAAATAAACAAAAACAAATAAATTACCTATTGTAACTACTAAATTATAAAAAAATATCGCTACAATAGATATGTTTTTAAAATCTACATCGTTAAAGCATGCTACTAATGCAGAAATAAGTCAAATCGGAGCATTTTAAAAAAATTGTGTATACAGAGTGATCCAAATGAAAAAAAACCCAGCACATGGTGGTCGTGGCACAGTGGTGACGTGACATAGTTGGATCAAGTATAATGATACCTGACAGTGATTAAAATCACTATCAAAAAAAAAACGCTTCGATGCATATCTTTAGATACTATTTAATTTTAAAAAAATAGTGTATTATTCCAAAAGCTACATGATCTGCTAGTTCCTTATTAATATTCTGATTAAATTAAGTATGTCGAATGAAAAAGAGATTATTAAAAAATATTATTTCTCATAAAAAAATTGTATTGAATATTTTTCAAAAAGTTATAGCATTATTAAGTGAAAAATATAAAAAAAAAATATTTAACAAAAATCGTAATTTTTTATTAACTTTGATGTCTATTTTCACTATGAAGACAAGTCCAGAGGTCAATTTTTTTTTTTTAAATTAAAGTATATTACATTAGCTTTACTTTAAGATATATTTAAAAGTGTCAGTATTTCCGGAACACTTTCAAAAGTTAAGTTGAAAAAGTTAATTTTTTGTAAAAAAGTTGTTATTTTTAATCCCCCCCTATGGCTTGGTAAAGGGTCAAATTTATAAAAAAAATATACCAAATGATAGGTAAAGACATGAAGCATTTATGAAAAAAAAATTATATTGATTTGTCTATTTTTGAAAAAGTTATGGTAGTTATTAGTAAAAAAATTGAAAAATTTTTTAAAATTAGCAATTTTTAAATTTGTAATTTTTTTGGAGGTTTCCCCATTTACGGGGAACGAGGGAAATTTTTTCAATTTTTGAGGGTAATGTCTTCGACTAAATACAATTTGTGATCTTTTGACGTATCATTGAAAGAAATTGGCTCAGTGAGAGCTAAGAAAAAGTGGTAACAGACACAAAAAAAAAACACATCTTAGTAAAATCAATACCTTCTCAGCTTCGCATCGAAGCTAAAAAATGTTGAATTATTCCAAAAGAAACATCATCCCCTATTTTATTATTTATATTTTGATTACAAGTTTTATGATTTATAAATTTAATATGTGAATAATTATTTATTATAGCAATTAAATATAATATGAAATTAATATGTAACAATTTAGTATTACAAATTACTAAAAATTACAAATTTAAAAATCATAAAATTTCAAAAAGTGTTTACAATTTTTCACTAAAGTTCATATCATATAATTTCATTGAAACCTAAAAAAAAATTTCAAAAAAAATGTAAAACTTATAATAATAATTGTACTTTTTTCCTCGGAGAAAAATAATAAAAACTGTGTTTTTAAACAAATGTGGTATTTATCAGGCGATTGAATAGTTTTAACCGTCCAAANAAATACAATTTGTGATCTTTTGACGTATCATTGAAAGAAATTGGCTCAGTGAGAGCTTTTAAACAAATGTGGTATTTATCAGGCGATTGAATAGTTTTAACCGTCCAAACGGGATTTGTTTTAAATGCTATTAGATATTCTTTAGATATTTTCCAAAATTAGTACTAATCGTTAAAAAAACATATGCAATGACTGTTTTAAAAAGTTTCCTATCCAATAATTGGTATGAAAATAAAAGTATAAATGCCTTTATCACTAGTAAATTGAACGATAGATCGAACACATAAACAGTATACGCACTACGCGATAAAACAGCAGAGTACCTATTACGAACTACAATCGAAACTCGAATGATGTAGTTTATAAAAAATTGAAAATAAATAAAAATAATCTTTTAATGTTAGTTTAATACTCAGCTGATAGTTGTCATTTCGTCAATCGTCCACTTGTCGTCGTATAATTTAGATAATAAAATTAAAAACAAAACACAAAAATACATATAAATATATGCACCAACGCAATATTACCACATACACACACAACTGTGGACTGTACATACTGTTAGAGGACATGACGTGTGGATACCTACGATTAACATAATTTAGACGAATATGGTTAATAATAATTCTTTTGAATTTAAATCGTACAAAATTCAATGATATCGACATTACGACAAATAAAAACTATTTCTATATTAACGATAAAATATGATTATTTACTCTCCTCAATAACGAGGACCATATCATACAACGATAACCGATAAATCACCCACTTAAATCAAAATTTCTGTGATGATTGAGGGTGCGTGAGAAGGGCGAGAATTTATTCTGAGGGGGCGACTGCCCACCCTCGCCCCCTTTTAACGCCGTCCCTGCCGTCCAAACGCGATGTGTTTTAAATGGTATTAGATATTTTCCAAAATTAGTAGTAATCGTTAAAAAAATATACGCAATGACTTTTTTAAAAAGTTTTGTTATCCAATAATTGGTATGAAAATAAAAGTATAAATGCCTTTATCACTAGTAATTTTTCGGTCTGCTCTTTCTTCCACCCAGTTATACAAATTCCAATAACTTTCCAAATACTGGTCCAAAATTCGTTATCGACCAGTCATTTTCCTAATTAGGTTATTATCTATAGAATAAACAATTATCATAAATCTTAAATGAATTACTCTGTATATTGTATCTACTAAATGCTTTTAAACTTTAAAGTAAGTGTTAAAACATATATTTTAATTATCTTCTTCTTCTTTCTCCTTGCCTTAATCTCAACTAATTGAGGTCGGGGACACCCTTATCCTAATCTACCACTTGATATGTTCTATCATATATTTTACGCTCATATCAGCTATCCTCATATCGCATTCAATAACATCTCTCCATCTCTTTTTTTGGTTTTCCTCTACCACTTTTCCCTTCAACATTCATTTCTAAAACTGTTCTTACGGTTTCCGATTCTTCCCTCCTGGTATTATGATTGAACCATCTAAGTCTATTTTCTCTCATCTTATCCACGATTGACGCTATACATATATTCCCTTTTATATTCTCGTTTCTTACACTATCTTCTCTAGTCACTCCACTCATCCATCTAAGAATTCTCATCTCTACTGTTATAAGTTTCTGCTCTACTTTCTTATCAATTAACCAACACTTTGAACCATACATAGCTGTAGTGAGACCACTACAGTCTTATAGAATTTACCATTCAGCCACATTGGAATTCTAATACATTTTAATCATATGTATTACATTTTTTCTAAAAAATTGTGTTAATATAATAAAGGTATATGCATAAAAAAATTAAGTCATATGATAAATTATTGGCTATACCTCATATTACATAATATAATTTTACTCAATTTTATATCGAATGATTCGTTATTATTATTTTTGAATACTAAGTCAAAAATTCTGTTTAAATTAATAATGTGAAAATCAATCAATTTTAAGCAGTTTAAACACAGTATTTTTTAAATGGATATTTTGAGTATGGGTCTTATTTACAAATCCTTATTTTTTTATATAATTTAAATATTTGAAGTTCAGTGGGTGATAAATTAACAATTTAATTGTCAAAGTTTCAGACTTTTATTGTTAAAAAAAGATACACATGTATGGTTGAATATAGTTTATTTTATTATTTAAAACTCAATATTCAATTTAGATTTTTATGTGTTTTAAAAAAATAGAAAACATAATTAATTTTTCATATTTAAAATACATATTAATAGTTCATATATGTTCTTTCTGTTTTCCGATCATCTGGGGGCTTAACATACCTGTATATTGAAGAATACTCAATGAATGATCGAACAATTTTAATGTCGATATTCATATAGATATAATTTAAATAATCTAGATAGTTTTTAAACTTTTCGAAGTTATTTTTCAATTTATAATCTAATGATTTTTTAATTTCGTCATCTTCTTTGAACGTATTAAATGACTCACCAAAATAATTTCTTTTAATATGTTCATCAATTGAATTTATATTTTCACTATTTATAAGATCATAGGATCTACTATAACTTGGTTTTTGAGAGAATTTTCGTATAATGCAATCGATTTCAAATTGTTGTTTATTTTTAAATTTGAATATATTATTTAATGTATGATTATTTAACAATAATTGGTGCATTTCGTNATGATTATTTAACAATAATTGGTGCATTTCGTAATTATTATTCTTAATAATATCGTTATCTGTATTGAACATTAAATACGACAGATGTTTCCTTATAAAATACAAAGGTAAGATTCTAAAAATGTCAAAAACTTTTTTTTGATAATCTCCTATTTTTGAAATCCATAAATCAAACCAATGATAATTCCTTGCAGCTGTATATGCAGTATTAATATCTTCCATGATATAGTAATAAACTTTCTGACTCTGTTCTCCATAATCCAATATTATTTTTTTCAAAATATCTTTATTTTGGATAACTTTGTGCAAATAAATTTTACTGAGTGAAATCCAATTATTTACCTCTATATCACTCAGAAAAAAGGAATTATTATGATTTCTTATGTTCATAACATTTTTTATTTCGTCAATTTTATGTGTGTCACTTGGATTTATTTTTATTTCGTTTGTAATATTTATGTCACAATCGTTTTTTGCATGTGATTTTAAAATTTCTATTATAACTCGTATAAGATCCTTAAAATGTATGACCAAGTTACCTTTTAAAAAATCCCTTTGTTCTTTTATGTAAATTGCATACATAAACATAGCCCATAAAGGATCTAAAGGTGCATCTAGGTCTGTCTTTAGCATTAGGGCTAGCATGTGTTGAATAATTGATTCGTCTAAAAGTACACTAGCATTTTCTTTTAATATTTGAATTCTTTCAAATGAACCAATAAGGCTCATATATTGTAATAGGTCCCTTAAGTTACTGCAATAAAGGTTGTAGTAGATAATTTGTGGCCTATTGTGTAGTGTAAATGTTGTTGGTTTGTTTTCATCTTTAGTCATGATACGTTTAAATTCTTTTATACCCACACGAGTTGGTAAATTTTGTGTTAATCGTTCATACCCAGTATCCAAATGCCATGCTATTTCAAGTTCTTCTGCATCTTCAAAATTCTCTGGTGTCGGTTTATAACAACAACATGTGATAAATTGGATATTAACAAATATCCCAAAGAATATTGTCAGCACGCAAAATTGATGAAAAATCATTATTATAATCCGAATTACTTACTGTTGGTATGACTTCTTAAGAAAAACACTTTTTTTAAAACTACACATTTAATAAATATTAGATATTTTAGTATATGTTATCATTTATATAGATATATTCATAAATACATTTATTCGATTAACAATTTTGTTTTCAAAAATAGTGAGTCAATATAATTTAAAAGTGATTTATTACGTATAAAATTAATTTACCGTCATTTTTATAATAGTAGACATAAAATGTAAATTAAAATAAGAATCACGTCATAGTATCTAATAGTCTAAATAATAAAGTTATACATTTTACTGAACCATTATTCAAGGGATAATATGAATTTGTGAAATCAATTTTTATATGACTTTATCTTTTCATGTGTTTACAATTTTTTACTTAAGTTCATATCGTATAATTTCATTGAAACCTAAAAAAGAATTTCGAAAAAAATGTAAAAATTATAATAATAATTGTACTTATTTTATATTGGTATTTGCTTATTTACAACTGTGAACTGTACATAAGTNTGGTATTTGCTTATTTACAACTGTGAACTGTACATAAGTAGAAAAATTTCTACTTTCAATGTGCATTTATTCGATTTAAGTAAAGACATCAAACATCTATAAAAAAAATTATATTGATATGTCTATTTTTGAAAAAGTTACGACAGTTATTAGTAAGAAAAATTTCGAAAATTTCGAAAATTAGAGATTTTTAAATTTGTAATTTTTTTGGAGATTTCCCCCATTTATGGGGAACGAGGGAAAATTTTTCAATTTTTGAGGGTAATGTCTTTGACTAAATACAATTTGTGATCTTTTGACGTATCATTGAAAGAAATTGGTTCAGTGAGAGCTGAGAAAAAGTGGTAACAGACACAAAAAAAAAACACATCTTAGTAAAATCAATACCTTCTCAGCTTCGCATCGAAGCTAAAAGAAACAAATTCAAGATAAGATTTATCAAAAAAATTTTCATATACTCTATCGAATTTTGTAATCAACTAGATTTTAATCAATGCAAATACTTCGTAGTTTATTATCATATGTTGGACAGAGTTAAAAAAAATTTACCTACAACCACGTTTGGAGTAATTGCTATTCCAATGTCTAGAACGTTATCTTTTTCAAATAACGTTTTCTATAAATATAAAAATGAAAATACAGCCATAATAATAACTGTATTACTCAATAGTAATCACAAATTAATAATAATTTCAATATAAATAAGGCCTAGCACGTTTTTGATAATTCGTAAAAATAATTGAATTTTAAATTTGGGGGGCCGGCCCTGGGCCACAATAAATCTAAGGGGGACCAGGCCCACCCTTGTCTACGTGCCTGAAAGTAGCAGTCCCGCAAAAACTAACTTGGTCAACTAGGAAGACATTTTTTTAAATTACAGTCACCTAAATTGATTGTTAAAAACTCAAACAATCGTTAAATCAAATCGGATATAATTTTTAAAAAATTGCTGTGCTACGCCCAGAATGTTTAAATATCAAAATATCTTGAGACATACAATATTACCTTTTTGTTTTTAAAAGCTAACAATCTCGTATCTAATAATAGTTGTAATTATAATAGAAATGTTATTATTCATAGTAAAAAAAACAATTGATAATTTAATATTCCGGAATACCAAAACTAAAAATAAAATAGTAACATGTTTAATATTTTATTGTATAAACTCTAACGACGTGCACTAAAAAAATGTTATGTACCTTAATGCGTATAAATTTATATTGGTTAAACTGTTTACTTTAATTGTCAGAGTCAAGGACGAATTTACCGAGTAGAAATTCGAGATATTTCCCAATGGACCCGTGTAACAAAAAAACTAATAACGATAACGATCCTGAGGGCAATCTTTCAAAGCAGTAATTCTCAGTGTTTCACGATATGGAAACAGTCTGAAAAACCTTCCTTCTCTTTTATGAAACATAGCGCATCATTTGCCAAGAAAACATCTATCTCAATTCAAGATAAAGCGTTCGCTTCCGTCATTACTGGGTAACATAGTTAAAACGGTTGGACGATATTTCACTATTATGTATGATTTGTTTTAAACACTAAAAAAATCAAATTAAGTTATTATTACTTTTAAAAAAATTATTTAAATAAATTTAATTAGTTAGAATTGTTACACATAACACCCTTGATTAACATTTTGGTTTTTGTTAATTCCTTAAAAACTTTGAATTTCAATAAATAATTGTAATTAATTAATCAAGTTAAACTTTATTGAAATTGCAATCTACCAAAAGTTATCTCAAACATTTTAAAGTTTATAAAATATCAGTTTTAGTTTTTTTATCGTATCTGATAATAGTTTACAAGGCACTTAGTTGAGACTCGCCAAACTATTTATTCCTTTGAATAACCACCATCAAAGACGTCATTCTGAATTAACCAGCAGAGAATTTTAAACAAATTAATTGCAGCAATCTCCTATTTTCTGCAAATTACTAACTAAACAGAAACATCAATTAAAAATGGAATTATTAATCATAGAACACATTAAGATTTTATATTATCAATTGTCAACCCAGCTCCTGTTACATAATTACGCATTAGAAAGTAATAATAACAATAATACATATGGTTGTTTGTTAAACATGCACACGAATAATTTTTATATTTTTGTAATGTCTGAAATAGTAAACGCAAAAGAATAACAATCATTTACACTTTAACGGTAAAAATGACACAGTAGTTGTTATTTTAACGGTTCCTAACCGCGAAATTCCAGCTGATGTGATCGTTGGCTGTACCAGAATTTTGTACACGACTTTTTTTTGTGAAAAAATAAATTAAAATAATAATGAATTCTACCGACAAACTAAGGACACGAAGTAAAATAATAAAATCACAATGTTTCCCACTTGGCAATCTTTTGCCAAATACGCGTAGACACGGAGAAAATTCGCCGAGTAAAACAAATGACATAAACTAATAAATAAATTTGTGAATGTTTCATACATATCTTCGAACCAATCCTTATAAACCTAAGTAAAGTCGTTTGCACTTTAGGTTACCTTACAATATAATCTATTCCGTGCAAAAGAACATTAAATTGTCATCGGTCTAGTATGGTTGGGTTTCCAACACGAACACCCGTGCGCTGCGCTTACTCATTATTTGATTAAACCGTGATTTACAGACATTAAACTAAGTTCAGGCCTATCATTTTGCTGTACAAAATGTAATGACATGCCGATTGTGATTGTGAAAAATTATACCATTAATTTATTATACTTGTATACACCTTAAAGCTACTATTATTTTGTGTACCGCTATGTAAGGTAAGAAATATGTTTGCATAACTCTGTTTCGGGTAACTTCAGTTGCACCATAGTTTTTTTTTTATACAAAAAAAGCATAAGAGTATACCACTTTTACAAAGCACGTAATTTTTGGGAAATCGTTTTTCCACTACTCGATGAAAATTTATAATACGTCACGCGTAACACAAAAAACTTCCTTCGACCTGTCAGTTACACTCAAAGAAAAAAGGTGACCACTTATTATTGGTTAAAATACTCGTGTTACATGAAATAATGTAAAAATAGACACATGAACTTGTGTTTCGAACGCTTTACATAATTGAAACGTCAAATCACGTCTTTCTTCATTATTCATATTGAATGACTTTTTTATGTGAACAATTTTGATTTTTTTTTTTTTAATTCGATAGTAAAAACAATATTTCTACAGCTATTTTAAATTGTTACATGTCATAAAAAAACTTCATGTGTTCAAAAGTGTATATATGTTATTATACGAAGCTCATAAGGTATTGATTTTACTATGGTGTGTTTATTATTATTTTTTGTGTCTGACACCACTTTTTCTCAGCTCTCATCGGATTGGTTTTTATCAATGATACGTCAAAAAACACAAATTATAAGTAAATTAATAAAATAATATTTTTTATAAAAACTTTAGGTATTTTTGAAAATACGACCATTCATCATGGAAGATTAAAAATGTCAACTTTTATATAATCATAAAACTTAACTTTTGAAAATGTTTCAGACTTACTCAGTGCTTTAAACAATGTTAAAGTAGAGCTTATGTTACATACTGCAAGTTTAAAAAAAGTTTGTCCCGACACCTTAAATTCTATATGTAAAAGGCCCCCGAATTTATTAATTATTTATTATTTTTGTATAAAAATTATCGTTTTTTATGTTGTTATAATTTTTTACTGCAATATGTTTTTAAATGATTTATTCCAATATTTTAGACCAGACGGTATATTTTTTAGAATAGGGAGTACATTATTTAACTCCCCTTTTACAAAAAAATAATAATAAATAATATTTAAATGTTAATTGTAAATATTTTTAAAAAAGATTTTTGCAGATTTTAATGTCAATTCAATAAGCTATTTTGTAATTTTTAAATTTTGAAAAAAAATTTAAAAACCCACAGTGTGAGTGAGACACTGCGAGTTCATAGTTAGTGGGGACGAACATAGATGATATCTGACAATGATTAACATCATAATTATACAAAAAGCTTCGATGCGAATCTGTTAAATTACACAATATTTGCATATTTGTAATTTTACAATATCTGCTTGTTATAGAACATTTCAGCTCTACTGACTATCTCAGGTTGACAATGATAATATAGCTTTTTTGAATATTGAATCAATATTACGTCTAAATATTTAGTTGAAAACTTTTAGCTTCGATGCAAAGCTGAGAAGGTATTCATTTTACTGTGTTTTTTTTTTTGTTATTATTATTTATAAATATGTTTTTTTTTTAAGTATTTTTATGAAAATTGTGACAAACAAAAATTTTTTTACCTGTTTGCACTAATGCTAAAAGTCTTTAAAAAAATATATTGAATTCAATACTGGATTCCTGTAGAGCACAGCAAACACATTACAACGTAAATAAATCACATTATTTGTTGTTCAAAATGAATAATAAATGTAAGTAATGAGCCAACTATAACTAAAACAATATAAACTTTGTATACAGCGGCTGGTCAACAACGATAAAAAGGGTAGACGGGCAGATAGGACGTAGGTGCTTCTGATCCACCCCACCTATACTGTCCAAGATAAAAT